AATCTTTTTTTCTTTTAAAGCTACAATATATATATATATGATAACGTACAAGTTAGTAGCACTCTTTCCTAAATTTGCGGTCTTTTTTTTCTACTTTTAAATTATAAACAATAATGCCACATCCTCATCTACCTTGGGGATGTAGTGCACGCGTGTTGTTATTGTTAATTAAGCTTAAAAAGTTTCATCACTCGGCAATTGTAGTGCTCTTATTAATGGTATATATATGTAAAAGTATACGCATTTATAGATTTACAATCATATAAATCAAGTATACCTTTACTTAAGTGCGTTCGAGGGTTTGATGGTAGATTTTTTGTGAAAACTCGATCAAGATTTCATATATTTTTTAGTCGTAATTTTTGTATTTTCAATAAAGTGAATTCCATTCATGGTAGAGGGGGAAAAATTGAAACTAAAAAATGCCTATTTTACTTACAACAAAAATTAATGTCTTCGAGCAAAAATGGCTAGAATCATTTAATATTATTATGTTGAAGATGTGGTTAGCAAGAAAAATAGTGCAAAGTTTGATTTTCTTCATACGTATTTTGTTTAAAAAGTAAAATAAAATATAAAAAATTAAAGTTGACACATTAGGAAACAAATGCGTTAATAAAATTTCATTCTGTTAACGTTAAAATCATTCGTTCTTCTTTTGACCTCTTATCTAATACCTGACAATTTCAAATGTGCTAATGTCTATTTTTAGTTCAACATGAATTACTGCAAAAAACTAATCTTTTTTTCTTTTAAAGCTACAATTCTAATTTCTTCCTGAAAAAAACTACTTTTGTTATTTCAACAATAAAAAAAAAATTTGATACGTTAGTAACACTATTACATAAATTTTAAATATGTTTACGTAGTTTGTATAGAACACATGTAAATATGTTTCGTTGGTTTTATTAAATAAAAAATTACATACTAAAAATTAAAAAGTTCCTACAAAGAAATAACATGTAGGCAACAAGCTCGAACAATAGTTGCGAATGGATCAATAAAAACGATCGATATAACTGTGACATGAAAAAGTTTATATAACAGAGTGTTGATGGTTATCTTACCTGTATACATTTGTATACAGTCCCAACCCTACACTTGAACTAATCAAGATTTCGATCGCGTTTTTCCCTCTCTCTCCCCTTGACTCTTTGCTTTGAATACTTTTAGGGCACGTGCGTATCTACCCTTCATTTTTTTTTTTTTACACCAGAGGGTAATGACGTTGGCTATTTTTTTTTAAACATATGCATTTCACGTACACACAAGTTTGGGCACAATTGGTTCATGGATTTTTTAATACTTTAAAAGAAAATTCCTAAATAAAGAACGTTTTTTCTTGCCAAAAACATTTTTTATTCATTATCATTTTTTTTTGTATTTCTAAAACTATTTTTTGTTTTAAATTGTAATTAATGCATACTTTTTGCTGGAAAAATCTTTCGTTTAGCACTATGTTCTGAGTTGCAATTAAAAGAAACAAAAATTTATTTAAAAATAAATAATGCATTAAACTTTTAGCAGAAAATATAAAAAAAAAAAAAAAAAGAACTGAAAGTTTTGGTGCCACACACAAACATAATGAAAAATATACTTAATTAAATGTAAAGTTACGTGTTTGAATGTAAGTTTATAGAAAGGCCATGGACGCAATATAATCTTCGACCTTGACACTCCTGGCAGGTAATAGTTTATACCCACGGTAACAACAGAAAACAAAACATTACCTACACTAGTATAATATTTTCACGTACGGGGACTGGCTTGCTATTCTTCATGTATATAAATAAACAAAGCTTTAATTTCTGTACTTTGCGTTGCTCGGTACGAGCTTATAAATTACTTTTCTTGAGTTACACGGAAGTGTGTGACGTCACGCTTAGTAAGGCTTATACAACATCATGATTAACAATAAAGTCATCGTTTATTTTTGTACCTCAGGAACGTGTATATAATATACAATAAAGCCTTTTTTTTCATGAATTTTCTTGAGATTAAGATTTAGAAAAAATACTTATCTAAGGCACATGTATTGATATGATGTTAATTTATCGAAATGGTGCACAAAAATGATTTGGAAAACCAGAAGAGCACTATTTTATCAGAAACGATAATGAAATTGATGAGTACGTTAATTAAATTGACGTGAAACCTACATTGATAACCGTCATTTAGCAATAAAGTTCAATCCAACTTTATAAACAATAATGCCACATCCTCATCTACCTTGGGGATGTAGTGCACGCGTGTTGTTATTGTTAATTAAGCTTAAAAAGTTTCATCACTCGGCAATTGTAGTGCTCTTATTAATGGTATATATATGTAAAAGTATACGCATTTATNGCAAAAAAAAAAGTCTAAGAAACGAAACGATAAAATCTTTGGCATGAAAAAGTAAGCAAGACCCTCCCATTTTCTGATTTGATAAGCGCACTATTGTGGTAAATACAAGCCATGTATACAGGCACATGGAAGTTAACGATATAAAAATTAATGTAAATTGGGTATGCTGTAATAATAGTATTCCGACTCGTATTTATGAATACTGAGTTAAATTTATCCTGGTAAACTTAAAAAATAATTTTGTTTTTCTATAAAAGAAGAACGCATAAAACGTCAATTTTTTTTTTTTCGTATGAATGACACTTCAAATAATCACGAGTCATCTATAATCAGTGGCACAAAAGATAAATATTTTTTTCACAAACACGTTACATACATTGTAAGTCTTCCATTTTTAACATTTTAATAATTTTATGGTCAAATAATAAATCGTTGTCTAAATCGATATGCGATTGTATGTTACACGAAGCAAAAAGTATTTTTTTAAAATACGTTTTTTAATATAAAATCGATTCGAAGCGGATACTCGCGTACACACGTTGATGTGAGATAAAAATGCCGTGCATGTACATGCACACTCTTTTAACCATTTCCATGTGTCTCCCGTGGATGTTTTGTTAGACGCGTCATCCATAAATACAATTATCCTGACTGATGCAATTAAATGTACTGTATGACATCACTTGGTGTATAATGTACGTATCATCTCTATTAATTTTTTAATTGCAAAAACACATCATCTTTTGTTGTAAAAAATGTTACTCAGGTTGCAGTTGGTATTATATGTAATATGTTCAGCTACCATCTTCGTTACGGATTTAAAAAAATCATTTCCACATCTGTTAACTTATGGAAGGTTTGGTGTTAAATTTTTTTAACGATTCGACGTGACGCAACAACACAAAAGAGTTGCATTTTTTTTCTTTTCATCGGATCTACACCTATCGCTCGTGAGCTATAGCAAAATGTACCAATAGTTATGGTACGCACTGAATTTGCAAGGTGACTATTTTATTTTATGTTGTATAATATTGCAAGGTGTGGCGATTTATTGCCGAAATGGCGATCTTTTACTTTCGCGAGCTATTTAGTTTTAAGACATGGGGCGAGTGGAGAATTTTTAGGGTCTTATTGGTGATTTTGTATATCTTACGAATTTGCCGGACTTTTGTACAAGGCTGCGTAGAAAAGTGATCAATGACGAATTACCTATTTTATGCAATAACTGTAATGATGCTTTATTTAATATTATTATGTTGAAGATGTGGTTAGCAAGAAAAATAGTGCAAAGTTTGATAGAATGATAGTTTAAGGGGGCTCCTTCGCGAAAGTCCCCAAACAGAGATATATTATTTCTTGTAAATAAAAGTCTACTGAATTTAATGGTGGTCTAAATTATATTTCGAATGGGTCAAAATTTTGAGAAATCCGAGCTCAAAGTTGTAACTGTTAGCACGTGTTCCTATGGGGCAGCGTGAAAAACAATTTGTTTTCGTTTATAATAAACCTAAATTAAATGTTCCAGCAGACTGAATATATACGTTTTGTAGATGAAGTCTTCCTCTGTAATATGCTGTATTAAAAATTGTGGATAAAGGACCATTTTAGCGAGATATTTGTGATGGAAATAAATAAATAGTGTCTGGGAGAGGTCAGGAGGTCACGTGGGTAGCAGACGTACTTGTTCACGACATATATATACCATATACCTATATATTACATCGCTATACTACACCAACACTGGTGGTCTGGTCTGGTGGTGTACCCTCGTATGCACTATAGACTGGTCAAAACAATAATTCATTTTTCGTACAAAGTTAAACTGCACACATAAATATCATTTTTCCCACTTCATACGTTATTAAAAATATCATAATGATTTTCAGACACATTTGTTTATTGAAAAACAAAACTTTATTTTTTGTTTGTCTTTGACCTCAGCAGTAGTCGTAGGAGCCCCCTCAAGTAATAAGCTCCGTAAGGAATATTTTTGACTCATATCGGTAAGCAGTTAAATCGAATGTTGGTAGTCATGTTGGTTGCAATAAAATATGAAATACGAATTTGTACGGATTTTTTTTTGTATCACATAAAATCATGGTGATGCAAATCATATTTTTTTTTTGATAAAGCTACATAGGTATACATGTTGGTTCTAATGAAAGGTTGAAATCGAAGGATCACCGACCGCCTTCAAAATTTTTTCCCGCTCGCCAAACGACCACGCGCGGTTTGTCACCCCACCACTCTATATTTTATGGCTCGCGCTAGTGTGTGTTGCGCTGCGGCCAGTGCGGTAGAGAATAGAGAACGGTAGAACGGTAGAGCGGTAGAACGGTAGAACAAGAGGTGTAGAAAATAACTAGTAGCGTCTGCAACATCGTAGCTGAACGATTGAGGGTTTAATAATTTCCATTGTCTTTACTAACAATCGTCACAATGTCTGAACATAAAGTCAAGATAATCAGTAATGTGGTAAGTGTCCCTATTTTACGTGAGAATTAAAAAACTTAATGTTATAGTAGTTTAATAGGAAAAAAAAAATATATATATACATGTATATAGGACAAAAGTGACGTGGACAGAGTGTTATACTTTTATCGCAAAAGAGACACCTGTTCGTGTCTGTTGTGTACACTGAGCAACGGGGTACCCTGAACGTGCTCCGGCTGTTCTCAAATCGAACCCTGTATAACCTTCACGAGAGAGTAAAAAAGTCAAGACAAAAAGTGTGGAATGTCGAGTTACATGAAAAATCCTTGTCTAATCTCTATTTTTTTGACTATCGATTACTTTTTGACTTAACATATGGTTCGACCTTAATTCTATGTACTTTTTTTCTCAAACACCGCCTTACGTACGCACGATATGCCATGATGAGAGTATACACACACGAGGTAGTGCGGCATTTTTGTCCTGCTAATAAGTATCGTTGTTTTGCTCCAATAGCCAAAGAATATGGGTAATATTCTAGCAATATTGTTGTTTTCCAATCCACCTTTATATTTACGTGTCCTAATAAGCATGTAATTTTTCTTTTTTCCATAAAAAAGAAGGTAGACTCGCTTACTTTGTTACCACCGCGCCGTGCAGTACTTATCGCGCCCATCTTATAGTTGGCGGGCGGGGTATAATGGAAATGTTACGCGAGCGGCGCCAGCAAGTTTTTTTTTTTTTTTTTTTCGCTTACGCGTTCATCTTAGGTGATATTAAATCTGATGATTAAATACGTGTAATCGTGCCAACTCGTATCTTATACCGGTATGACACATGATTGTGAAACTTCGTTTATTGTGTATACCGAACCATTTTCGTGGTACAAATAAAATGTTTCATTACCCTTCAGCTAGTAATTCCCTCCTTTCCCAAGTATTTTTTCACAAGTAGATACATTTTTTTCTCCTATTCTAGAAAATTCCGTTCGTGCGATGACGTAGCAATAAGTTGACTTCATTATCCGCATGCTTGAAAAAAGTATGTCAAAAGATTTTTTCATACTCTAAGCGATGACATGCGCACTCGTCTCGTTCAAATACAAATTTTTTAAAAATGTGATAATTTGTGGTCATATTTTATTGATTTTCGATATTTTGCTTTGTACAGCAAACCAGCATTCGTGTACTACTAATCTTTTGATCACAATACATATACCTATACACCAACTTGTAAGAAAGTGGGTCATACGACATGCTTTGTAGGAAATTAGAAATTCTTTCAATACATATATACATTCCTATACCATGATATGGACATATATCCAGACCATCGGCTATTGGTCTGAATATGTCTGAGGTCTGAGCTTCTACTATTGAATAACGATGATTTGCAGATGTTTTTTGAAAAAAATTTTAACATGTGTCACTTGTAATATAATTATCAAAAATGTCTTGCTTATCCATTAACACAGGACTTTTGGTACGCAGCTGTTAATATTCAAGTTTGATATAACCATTGCAAAATTTTGTTTCATCTTAATCTTAAATCCTACAATTTGTATTACATAAAGATAAAAAACATAATTGAAGAATCTGCATTAGCAAACGTTTTTAATTAAAAAAAAATGCAAACTGTATTAAAGCGTTACGTCAACTGCAAAACGTTATTTAACACAGTATTCCAGAGACAAAAACATAATGTCTCCCTAAATCCAATAGTCTCGGTGATGCATAGTGCACAATCGCATAATAGACAATTAAGTATAAGCCTGAAAAATCATATCAACTACATGACTAATCCAGCACTTCTTTTATGATTGTAGGCTGAGCTGGAAGAAACACTGAAAAATGCTGGAGACAAGCTTGTTGTAATTGATTTTTCCGCTACATGGTGTGGCCCATGCAAAATGATTAAACCAAAATATGAAGAGCTATCTCTCAAAGAGGTTAGTTAGTTGGTATATTAACAAAATATCATTCAAGAAAATTTATACGATTAATTGACATAATTACAGGAAATGCAAAATGTTATATTTCTGTCAGTTGATGTCGATGAGGCAGAAGACGTGGCTATGGCATATCAGATCGAATCCATGCCCACTTTTGTGTTTTTAAGGGATAATAAAAAGGTGAGTTTAAAAGTTATTATTGAAAAAAACTTTGTATTAACAACTTTATTACAATATTTTTTATTTATTTACAGCTTGAGCAGTTCTCTGGAGCTAATCTTGACAAGCTCAGTGATACAATAAAAAAACATATGCCTCAGTAACTACAAACGCGCACAAGATTTAAACACAGTTTAAAATATACAGTAATTATTCATTGAAAATTAGAAGTTTTAAAAACGACTTGCTAATCAACAGAGAGAAAATAGTATGCAAGTTTTGTATGCAGCATATTGCTGCTGATGAAATATTTTTTTGATCAGTTGCATTTTTTTTTTTTTTTTCATCTAGAACCAATCAAATGGTCATCACAATATACAAGATGCACTATCATTTTAAATTTTTTGTGCTATCAATCTTGGAAATCGAATGTTGGTAGTCATGTTGGTTGCAATAAAATATGAAATACGAATTTGTACGGATTTTTTTTTGTATCACATAAAATCATGGTGATGCAAATCATATTTTTTTTTTGATAAAGCTACATAGGTATACATGTTGGTTCTAATGAAAGGTTGAAATCGAAGGATCACCGACCGCCTTCAAAATTTTTTCCCGCTCGCCAAACGACCACGCGCGGTTTGTCACCCCACCACTCTATATTTTATGGCTCGCGCTAGTGTGTGTTGCGCTGCGGCCAGTGCGGTAGAGAATAGAGAACGGTAGAACGGTAGAGCGGTAGAACGGTAGAACAAGAGGTGTAGAAAATAACTAGTAGCGTCTGCAACATCGTAGCTGAACGATTGAGGGTTTAATAATTTCCATTGTCTTTACTAACAATCGTCACAATGTCTGAACATAAAGTCAAGATAATCAGTAATGTGGTAAGTGTCCCTATTTTACGTGAGAATTAAAAAACTTAATGTTATAGTAGTTTAATAGGAAAAAAAAAATATATATATACATGTATATAGGACAAAAGTGACGTGGACAGAGTGTTATACTTTTATCGCAAAAGAGACACCTGTTCGTGTCTGTTGTGTACACTGAGCAACGGGGTACCCTGAACGTGCTCCGGCTGTTCTCAAATCGAACCCTGTATAACCTTCACGAGAGAGTAAAAAAGTCAAGACAAAAAGTGTGGAATGTCGAGTTACATGAAAAATCCTTGTCTAATCTCTATTTTTTTGACTATCGATTACTTTTTGACTTAACATATGGTTCGACCTTAATTCTATGTACTTTTTTTCTCAAACACCGCCTTACGTACGCACGATATGCCATGATGAGAGTATACACACACGAGGTAGTGCGGCATTTTTGTCCTGCTAATAAGTATCGTTGTTTTGCTCCAATAGCCAAAGAATATGGGTAATATTCTAGCAATATTGTTGTTTTCCAATCCACCTTTATATTTACGTGTCCTAATAAGCATGTAATTTTTCTTTTTTCCATAAAAAAGAAGGTAGACTCGCTTACTTTGTTACCACCGCGCCGTGCAGTACTTATCGCGCCCATCTTATAGTTGGCGGGCGGGGTATAATGGAAATGTTACGCGAGCGGCGCCAGCAAGTTTTTTTTTTTTTTTTTTTTCGCTTACGCGTTCATCTTAGGTGATATTAAATCTGATGATTAAATACGTGTAATCGTGCCAACTCGTATCTTATACCGGTATGACACATGATTGTGAAACTTCGTTTATTGTGTATACCGAACCATTTTCGTGGTACAAATAAAATGTTTCATTACCCTTCAGCTAGTAATTCCCTCCTTTCCCAAGTATTTTTTCACAAGTAGATACATTTTTTTCTCCTATTCTAGAAAATTCCGTTCGTGCGATGACGTAGCAATAAGTTGACTTCATTATCCGCATGCTTGAAAAAAGTATGTCAAAAGATTTTTTCATACTCTAAGCGATGACATGCGCACTCGTCTCGTTCAAATACAAATTTTTTAAAAATGTGATAATTTGTGGTCATATTTTATTGATTTTCGATATTTTGCTTTGTACAGCAAACCAGCATTCGTGTACTACTAATCTTTTGATCACAATACATATACCTATACACCAACTTGTAAGAAAGTGGGTCATACGACATGCTTTGTAGGAAATTAGAAATTCTTTCAATACATATATACATTCCTATACCATGATATGGACATATATCCAGACCATCGGCTATTGGTCTGAATATGTCTGAGGTCTGAGCTTCTACTATTGAATAACGATGATTTGCAGATGTTTTTTGAAAAAAATTTTAACATGTGTCACTTGTAATATAATTATCAAAAATGTCTTGCTTATCCATTAACACAGGACTTTTGGTACGCAGCTGTTAATATTCAAGTTTGATATAACCATTGCAAAATTTTGTTTCATCTTAATCTTAAATCCTACAATTTGTATTACATAAAGATAAAAAACATAATTGAAGAATCTGCATTAGCAAACGTTTTTAATTAAAAAAAAATGCAAACTGTATTAAAGCGTTACGTCAACTGCAAAACGTTATTTAACACAGTATTCCAGAGACAAAAACATAATGTCTCCCTAAATCCAATAGTCTCGGTGATGCATAGTGCACAATCGCATAATAGACAATTAAGTATAAGCCTGAAAAATCATATCAACTACATGACTAATCCAGCACTTCTTTTATGATTGTAGGCTGAGCTGGAAGAAACACTGAAAAATGCTGGAGACAAGCTTGTTGTAATTGATTTTTCCGCTACATGGTGTGGCCCATGCAAAATGATTAAACCAAAATATGAAGAGCTATCTCTCAAAGAGGTTAGTTAGTTGGTATATTAACAAAATATCATTCAAGAAAATTTATACGATTAATTGACATAATTACAGGAAATGCAAAATGTTATATTTCTGTCAGTTGATGTCGATGAGGCAGAAGACGTGGCTATGGCATATCAGATCGAATCCATGCCCACTTTTGTGTTTTTAAGGGATAATAAAAAGGTGAGTTTAAAAGTTATTATTGAAAAAAACTTTGTATTAACAACTTTATTACAATATTTTTTATTTATTTACAGCTTGAGCAGTTCTCTGGAGCTAATCTTGACAAGCTCAGTGATACAATAAAAAAACATATGCCTCAGTAACTACAAACGCGCACAAGATTTAAACACAGTTTAAAATATACAGTAATTATTCATTGAAAATTAGAAGTTTTAAAAACGACTTGCTAATCAACAGAGAGAAAATAGTATGCAAGTTTTGTATGCAGCATATTGCTGCTGATGAAATATTTTTTTGATCAGTTGCATTTTTTTTTTTTTTTTTATCTA